CCACTGGTATGGCTTTGCTTGGATGTGCTTGATAGCTTGAGTCCTTTACGATACACCATGGCAGTCAAAGCCGATCTCACATGCATACCCAATATGTCAACCCCAAGATACCATTGGCGGGTTGTAAACGTCTCAGCAAGCTTGGCCGAGAAAAATATTCCTGCTAGAATGTACCCCTCATGGCGGAAAGTCTCCTTCCCCCCCAGATACTCCACAAAGTAACTAATCAAGTATGGGCCAACATATGAAACTACAGTATTCAACATGGCAAAGATAGCATTCCGAAATGCTTCTCTCCAGAATGACTTGAGAATTGCCCAAGCTAAAGAAGGTTGCTTAGAAGGATTCTCAGCTTTCATTTTCTCCCAATTCGAATTCAGAAGCTTATAATTGGCTTTGGCTCGATCTTGTGGTGCAAGAAGAGGAATGTCCTTCAGTTCTAGAGGTCTCTTTGCACCGGTGGAAAGAAGTGGGTTCAACCAAGAAAGAGTGAGCACGCTAAAGAACCCAGCATCACTGTAGGGAGTTATTCTGAGACATGCAGAATCTTCTTCCAGAAGCAGTGGTTCTTGAAGGTCAGAGTTCCTCATTACTAGTATGCCAGTAGCGCCTCTGATAGCAATAAAGCACAGAAAAGCCAGAGCAGGGGTTGCAGCGAAATTCACCAGAACTGGAGCACTCAAATGTCCATAGCCTTCTGCCAGAAGGCTCCTCCCATCAACATACAAAGTAAACAAGCACATCAGGAACGAGAACAGCCACCACAACCTGAGCAAGAGCGGGAACTTCTCGCATGCCGTAAACTTACAATGAAGAGTCCAAAAGCTCAAGACAAGCCATGCTAAGCCTTGAGAAGCAGGTAAGCAAAGCACAGTCCACTCCTGAACTTCTCCACTAACGGCCTCTCTAACCAAAACAATACCATCGTATCCCAGCGCCAGAAACTGCAGAAACAAGACGTAGAAGCAACAGAACAAAGAGAACTTGAAGATAGTTCCCACAACAACATCACGGGTCTCTCCATCCCCAACACCAGTCCGTCGAACTGGGCTGGAGCCAGCAACCGATGGGGCATCATCTTTCAGCAGCCTGATCCTGCCAACACAGACGAAAAGCTGCCTGGCGGAGATGATCAACAGGAACACCAGAAACAGTGTCAAATTGACGCAAATTGAGGCGAGTTCCAACTCGGGAAGGCCGTGGATTGCCCTGAATGCAGTTTGGAATGATAGCCTATTGTGACTATCAACCCAATAGGTGGAACCCATTATAGAAATAGAAAACGCAAGTTGGCGGTGGGGAGTTATGGTGACGACGGTGGAAGAGAGAGTGAGAATGCGGCGGTATTGATGAGTAGAATGGTGGGTTTACCTCCGAGGAAGGAAATATCACTGAGCAGGGAGAGGAAAGAGAGTAGAGATCAAATCGAGCTAAGAAGGCATTTCAGTTTTTCACCATCTGGGGCATTGAATGGGAAGAGGATATAGCTCATTTAGGAGATAGAATCATTGCGCAAAGAAACAAATACGGTTGTCACGCAAGACGAAGAGCAAAAATCAAAAGGCGGATGCAGAGCGCGGGCGAGAGATAGAGAGAGATGCAGGAAGAGGCGGTGGTAGAGGAGAAAGGGAAACAAAAACGACCGTTTCGACGAACACACAGACACACTCCCTCTGTATCTCTCTCTGCCCGTTCGTGTCTTCTTCTCCAACGAGCACAAGGAGACAAAGCAGAAGAGAGAAAGGGGAAAAGGGCACGTCGCAGAAATCTGCACAATCTGGCTGCAATAACCCAGACGAGAAAACAACCAAAAAGATCCGACCTTGAAATTCGTTTCCCTTTTTTGGGGTTCCTAGGCCGAAGAACACCAAAAGCCCACTCCACGCCAGAAAAATGGTAGTGAATTATGCCCACCGGACGAAGATACCCCCTTCCTTTCTTAAAACTCTTGAGGTTTCTTCAAATCAAATCACCCTCTCCATGCTCGACGAGTCAAACAGAAAGCAACGGGGATCATATCCCCAACCAATCAAAATTCCAGAAGAAACCCAATGTGCTTTACAACAAACACCTAGAGCGCACGAACTTCATTTCCTCCCTTCTCTAGTTTCTTTTTTCCTGAGACAATATAAAAAAACAGAGGAAGGGAAAGAAACCCAACGGGGCGATCTCTCGCTGTGTAATCACTGAGATTCCCCTCTCAGGCTCTCACTCATCAATCGTGGAAGAGAAACCAAGATGGGGATCTCGCAAAATTAGTAAGAAAGCAGCAATGCAGAGAGTTTTAGAGTAGAAGAAGGAAGAAACTCAGAAAGGCAAAAGAAACGAAAATTAGGAAGTGGGTCGGTCGGTCCATCAATGGGTGGGCATTGCCGTGTTGGAGCTGTGTGGGTGTGAGTCAGTGAGGCTGCGGAGGTGGCACCCACCACCTTTTTTCCGCCCTCTTCTCCTTCTCCTCCTCGGTTTTTCGTTTCTGTTTTTCAGCTATTGGCTTTTTGCGTCTTTGGTGGGTAAAGAGTCACTAATTTCTAATAAAGGCACTGTACTCTGTTTTCTGAGGTTTCTGGCCATGGTCCTGAAATTTGCATTTGATAATACGCGGGGTGAAATGGATGGATGGCAGGCAGCGGAAGAGAAACAGAGTACAGTGCTTTGGCTGTAGGATACTGACAAAAACGAAAACACCCCACAAACTGAGAAATTTCTGTACTTTTTATTTGGTACTGAGAATCTGTGAGAAAGAGGGAGATGGGCAGAGCACAAGTTTAGGAGTTCATCTCTTTCACCATGATAGAGTGTGTACTACTTTCTCTTTCTATCGAGACCTAATCTGAATTATAGATGCGTTAATGACAAATATAAACATACATTAGAGGCAGTGGCGGACCCATAAATTTTACATAGGGTGTACTCAGTTAAAAATTAAATATAATAATAATCATAATAAATAAATAATTATTCAATAAGAAAATATCTAAAAAGTTCACGATGTGTTTTATATTTCGAAATAATTGTAGAATACACTTGGTGTCTATAATGCTCAAAAAGATTGTCTATGTATGTTCTACTATACAATCATTCACGAAATGATCGCATATTCGATTTCTAAACTTGTTCTTGATGTAACCCAAAGCTCAAAATACCATTTCAACACTTGTCCTACAACCATAAAATTAATGCAAATTAATGGTAGTTTGAAATAAGTTTAATTGTTAGATTTGAAAATAATTAGAGATCGAAAATTATATTTTACTATTACACAGTGTTTAAAATTAAACAACAAATGAGTTGTAGCCTAATAGAAATTATCTTTACTATTAATAATATTGTTTTAGGTTTGAATTATCCAAATTACCACTTATATTCACATACACAAACTAAAAAGTGATAGTAGGATAATCATTTTTTCAAATTTCAGGGGTGTCTCTCACTATCAATTATAATTTTTTGTCCATACGTAAATTACCATCGGTGGTTGGAAAATCGTTTTCTCAAAATTTGGGTGTGTCTCGGGACACCCTCAAACACCCCTCGGTCCTCCCCTGATAAGAGGAGTGGTTAAGATTCAATAAAAAAAATTCATATACTTTCCCAACAATTTGAGGTATTGCAATTAGTTGGTTTATGATATAATATCAAAATTAATTTGATCTTGATCCTTGAGATTACTCATTCAAGTCCTCGCGACCTCAATCTTAACAATCGTCTTTAATCCATGGTATGAGAGCTAAATGCAAACTTCAAACTTATGAATTTGTTTACAATTGAGCGGGAATGTAAGGAAGAAGTTACAACTTATACATAGACCTTTTACAATAACTCGAATTCTTAAAATCCGTTGATTCCTTCCATTGCTGTAAATCCATCACAAAGCGAGTTCAACGAGTGTGAAAAATGAAAGAAAATTATTAAAAGTTTATAAAAATAAATGAAGGAAAAGTCCACATAACCCTTTTGGATACATGTCGTCGCACACATGCACATTGCACAAGAGCTCGACCAGCCATATAATATTTCATAATCACTAATAATATCACACATTCCTTAGTAGTAGTTTATTCATGGGCATTATTTGGTGATTATTGTAACAATAAAGGTAATTATTCCTCAGAATCAGAATGTGATTTGTGTGTGCTTTTCTGTGGGACAGATGGGGGCAACTGGCCCAGATCAGATCTCAACTCAGTTCATTATAATTGTTTTTGGCTGGGGGTGACGATTCAAGGCCAACTTGTTTTTAATCTCTGGCGATGCCTTTCCAGATCCACTTCTTGTTAAATCTAATGCAATACTTTTTCATCTTTCTTTATAGACTTTTGATACAATGAGTCATACTAAACTCCAAGTGTCACTAGCTAAAGTTAGGATGAGGTTTCCTATCGACTGTTTCAGTGCACAAATTGAAATTTTATCAGTGATGCTACGTTCAATTGTTTGTCTGCGACTACCTAATTCAACAAAACTTATATAAAGTCTCTTCTTAAAAAAAACTCATGTTGTGATATTGCGAATTTCATAGGTAAAATAAGTGTGAATAATGATAACATTAAAGAAGTACGAACGTAAATAAGATATGGTATTTCAGTTATTAACATGGTACCAAAACAAACTAATCTGCCACCTATCAAACTGATACATAGAAGGAGGGAATTTTGAGCTGCACCGTTCAGTTTTGAACTCTGTAAAAGGTGGTCTACAGAAACAAGAGTATCAATCTTGGCCTAGACGGAACGAGTCTGGGTAATCTCCTCGATCTGACTGACTATTCCTATTCTCCACCAATTTTTGCCTAAACTACATGTGATTTTACTCCAATTACTTAGGATTTTGCTTTTATGAACTCATATCATAATTTATTAATATTTAGGGTTAATACCCGCGTTTGGCCCGAAGTTTAGCGTAAGTGACAGTTTTGGCCCCATTTTTTAAATAAGACGTTTATGACCTACTTTTGAAATTATTGGACAGATTTGGCCCGAAACTTGTGCTGACTGTTAATATTAACGGTCAAACATTTATTCCGTTAATGACTCAGCAATCAACGCTAAAGTGGCAGTGATGTGGCTTCCACCTCATTTTTATTTCAATTGTTTCTTTTTTTCTAGTCTTTCTTTGTTACTTGAAAACTTCAAAAATAAAAATATAAAACTCATCAAAGCTCAACCGCAAAAATTACAACCCCTAAAATTTTGTTCTATCATTAGCAAAAATTACAATCCCGAATCCGGTGTAGGGGAATAGAGAACTCTAACGACGAACCTCCAGATCCCTCGATTCTCCCTCATCCATTGACTGGCGACTGGTATCATTCAGCAGCAGTCTGCGAAGAGAAGAGGCATAGCAACGTCGGTTGCGGCGGCGGCGGCGGCTAGGCTCTAGCTGAAACTGGATAATCGAAGCAGAGATTTCGTACCTGAACCATCCGATGTTCGGGGAGTTGCTCGACATGGCGGAAGCAGAGTTCGGGTTCCATCACGCCATGGGAGCTCTGACTCTGCCTTGCGATGAAGATTCTTTCCTCCACCTCATCTCTTCCCCTGCATTTTGGGATTTTATGATGTAATTAGAAACAAAATTTACAGACAAAACTAGCTGTATGGTATGTAGACCAAGAGATTTTGATTGGTTTTCATATTCATGTAGATCAAAGTAAAGCTAGTGTAGAGGGAAACAGAGATCCATCGCCCAGAGTTGCGCCCCCGCGCTCCTGCACGTCACGGCAGCGGAGAAGTCGCAGGGCTCGAAGCAGTTCAACACGCGCACCACCAGCGCGTCGAGGGTCGTCTCCCCCGCGTCAAACCCCATCGCTTTGTAGCTGGCGTAGCTGAACTCCTCCTCCGAGAAGTTGAAGAATTCGTTCAGCGCGGCGACTTCCTCGGAGAAGCTGCGGTGCGGCGCCGGCTGGACGCTGGGGAAGATGAGCTGTCGCGGGAGTAGAGCACATCGTGGACGGCGAGCGAGCCGTCCAGATCCAGAATCGGTTCGACGGCGGCGAGGAGCTTCGTGGTCCCGCAGGTCTCGATGACGAGCTTCAGCGGGTAGATGAAGAGGCTCGATTGAGTACACCGACGGCGTAGTTGAGGATGATAAGGAGCGGTAGTGTTTGATTTAGATTTAGGGTTTGGTTTGGGAATTTGGGAGAAGAAGGGATTTATTTAATTTGTTAACTTTTAATTTTAATTAAATAAAAAAATTAAAAAAATTATTTAATGACGAGGCATGCCACATCAGTTATTTTTTGCTGAGTCATTAACAGAATAGTGTTTGACTGTCAATATTAACGGTCAAAGAGAATTCCGGGCCAAATCTGTCCAATAATTTCAAAAGTAGGCCATAAATGTCTTATTTAAAAAATGAGGCCAGAATTGTCACTTACACTAAACTTCGGGCCAAACCAGGGTATTAACCCTAATATTTATCATATTATAGTTTATTTTTGAATTTAATGAAAAAACAAATATTTTTAATGGTTTCCAATTAAATTACATACTTATATGTCCCAACCCGCACTGAGTAATAAATTATCCAACCTGAATCTGATATGGCAAGGTGCAAGTATGGATATCAAGATATTCACCTCGGGCCTGTCCCAGATACCGCCCCGAACCTATTCCATTGTCATTCCTAGTAACCTCGATGATAAGGACAATTTCAAAGCAACTTCCCTAATGTCAATGGAGAAAATGATCAAATAGATTAACATAAAAAATTACCTCATGTGAGTATAGGAACTTGCTAAAACTAGGAAAAACACAAATTTTATCTCATTTGAGACAATTACAATATGATCCATAGCTTTGTAAATTATATCATTTAACGAAACAAAATAATACTAGTGCCCAAAAGTACTCTCTAACAATTATATACAGGATTCAGGCTTTGATTGTTGAGACTGGAAATGGATTTACATATATTAGATACATGCATGTTTTCTCAAATATCAATACATTTACTCCGATGCAACAGCCTGACCCTTTACCCAACAAAGTTATGGACAAAGAATAACGCAACTCCACAAACTGAAAAACAGCAGAAACAATATAGGCACACCTTAACAAGAACGACGGAGTCTTAATAGGCATCGAATCAGCACTTTCTGCACGCCAATCAAGTTAAAGCATACTACTATAGCCATCTTCATCATATATGCTAATGTAGCACATTATGGCTATCACAAATATGAAAAATGATGACAGTTCCATTGCCAGTGCTCCCTACCCAATAATGCCAGCATGCTTTAAGATTGCCGGTATGGCAATACTTCCAACAGTAGATGCTCCAGTGAAAAACTTGCTTGCATTCATCCAGCTGTTCATTGTTCATCATTAGCCACAGAAACAGGTTGGTTAATCCCATGTTCAATATGCAGCTCGAATTGGCGCATCTCAGACCGTGGGTATCTCTTGAAAGCAGGGGATATGGAACATTACCTGCTATCAGATTCTTGAAAGACAGATTCCGAGCCAGCAAAGAACAACAAGGGCATTGGAAGAAGCACATACATCACAACTGCAAGAAGCCAAGAACTTACGAGGTTATAGAACGCTGGTTGTGTCGGCCCTTCAAACTTTGAAGGAAGATTATAACTATGAGCCGATGAAATCATCATCGATCCACATAAACAGCAAATGGGGAGTTGCACGTATAGACCGTCAGCATATCGAACAGTTGCAGTTTGAGGAATGTGAACCAACGATGATGCGAAGTCAGCTTACTGACATCAAGTCCCTTCTAGAACAGCATACGGTGCTAGCTGACGTCAAATTTGATGTGTTTTTTTTCCTTCTAAATGCAGCAGATAAGGAATTCACAACATTACATAACTAATATAGCATGTGAGCATTCTCGAAAATCATGTACTCGTAGCATCCAGTAGGCAAAGACATTTGATGAATACTGCATTTCCTTCAGCGAAATGCATTTTCGTCCGTAACTATTCTACCATTCACTGACACACCGACTGGAGAAATAAGCAATCAAATTAAGGTCATGGCGGATTGGTCGTGTTCGTCAACTGGGAGAGATGTTCAAGCAATCCTCTTCAATTATCACTTACCAGTCAGCATTGGCCACCAATTATTGTACAGAGCACACGCCTGCCATGTCAAAAAAATGATCATAAGAGAAGCTATGGTATGGCCACCTCAAAAGCATTTGGTTAAAGAATCCATTCTGCAAAAATATTCAGAGTGCTACTGACCAGGACTTGGAGCACAATTCCCCCCGAAACGAGAATAGCTAGCATAGCAAGGTGACCAGTTTGCAAGCAAGAACGCACGTAACCTGGTAAGTCTGCCATCGCCGGACTTGAGTTGCCTCAGCTCATATATCGGATCAAAGCAACTGATAAGAACACAGAACAAAATAAGTAGCAGCAATCACAGCAAACAATTTTGGGAATCTGTTAACCACGATTGATGCGTATACACGAAGTAAAAGGGAAGAAAATGGAATAGAATTACGGAGATTCTGTGTAATTCGTCAATCTACGATTAACAACCAATTTTGTTGCGAAAGGAGAAAAGGAATAAGGATAACGAAGCGTTTCTCACCGACCGCCGTCCGGTAGCCCAGAGCACTGCCGGTTAACCGGCGTGAAGTTTTCGATCGGCTACAGATCCAAAATCAATAAGCCCCTGCTCCAAGATCGGCTACTCTACAGTCTCCACTATTTTCGCTTTTGGACCTTTTGGTCTTAAACGCTTCTTCCAGAAACCCCTCGCTCGCGCCAGGTTCGGGTTGTTGAGTTTACCTAAACTACGTGAACCAGTTTATCCCCGATAACTCGAGTTGTTGAGTCAATCATATATCATATACCACATATTAACACTTTTCCCGGATTTTCCACTCTGATTCCTAGTTGTTTGGATGTTTTCCTAGTTCACAACTTTCTAAAAAAGTTACTCAAAATAGTTGTAAAAAAACAAAATGTTATTAAATTTTTCCAGAATACCTAAGTTTGAGCAAAATTGTTGGAATCCATAGTGATTTTACTTGGATTGCTGCAACTCCACTTGATTTGGCATAATCGCTATCAATCCCAACAAGTTTGTCACAAAATCGTTAGAGGTCTCATCATTTTCACCTAATATACGGTCAAACTTTTTAAGTTGCTAATATTGTGCTCGATTATTCGATTGACGCAATTATTTTTATTTTGCACAACTCTTTAAAATCTACACAGCTACAAAAGTCTAAGACGATTTTATCCTGACTTTTAAATCAATTTTCATATGGTATTAACTTTTGACCTTTGTTACTCGTGATCGAAAATAATCTCATTCCTTATTGCGACAGTTTCATTATGCTTCAGTTGAAATTCCTCAACGACAGATGTGCGGAATCCCAATGGTAGTCTTCATAGCGACATTTAATCCTTCACCCCTATCCTTTCATGTTTCTAAAACTTGTGAACAACCCTAATTTCATATTTTTTAGGATTACAAACTGGGATCAAAATTATGAAAGATTGAGTGGTGAATTTAATGACATGCCAATTTGGTGTCCGTACTATTTTCATGGTCAAAACGTTTTGCTGCTCCTCTTCAAACACACTAAAACCATGAATTTGTGAAGAAGATAGAGGCAGACAATTCGAATTTACAAACCTATTGAATGCCACCAAAAAAAAATTCCCTCAAAATGATACGCTGCAACGAAGATTTGAACCAGGATCGTTCCTTTATTGCTTGCTTCACCAAACAATCTCCAAACAAAAACGCTAACAACATTGGCCGCACTGTCACAGCCTCACAGGTAAATTCAGCAGGCAGATACAAAAAAGAATAAAACAAGGAAAAAAAGAGGAAGTATTCCATTATCCCAACCGCCAGTTGTTCTGTGATTTTGAAAGGACACCTTTAACTCAATCCCTTCATTCGTAGCTTCAGCCGAACTCTTATGTTTTCTCTCCTTTTGCTAACAAATGAGAAAATCTGAAAGGAAGAGAACCAATAGAATACAAGGGCAACCTTCCTGTAAAAAAAGTCACTTTGTTTCTGGTAAGAAAGGGTCATCCTCACTTTGATATTTGATCATTTGGTTTCTGGTTTCTGGGTCCGGGGGCAAGCCGTGCATGGCTGACATGCCGAAGAGCTGTCCAACAGACTAATTCGCTGTGTTTGCTGCTTCTCTTCATTGCTTGGAATGTTAACCAGGGCATCCATTATGAGGATTTCCCAGTCTCGAGGGAGTAGATACGATAACCAGTTGTCATCTGCAACAAGAAAATGTTGAACCTCATCAGGCTACAAAATGAAGCTCCATCACCAGTCGGATATGTGGCAAGGTATGTTAAGAATGCGGCAAATGCTATTTATTTAGTCCTGTTAACAATTCCATGAGAGCGATTGATGAAAAGAGTAAGGGTTGAAGGACAAAGCATATGATTGAACAACAAACCAACCTCCGCCACGAACAGCTTTCATCTGCACGACTCCGTTTCCACGTGGACCAGCGACAGGAAATGAACAAGAAACAGATTGCCTTCTGTGAGATACTGCAAGGGAAGCACTGTACCATGGCCCTTTGGCTATTGGTTCACCGAGAGCTACTTTAATTTTCTCGTTGTTGTTTGCTCTCTCCATTGCCTTTCTGAATATTGTGCAGAGGTAAAATGGTCAAAGATATGATCTGTGTAAGCATCTACAAAATTTCACCATCAGCCCACCAACTACCATCAAGGCGACAGTGACTCTCTTCTTCATCCTATCAAATGGAGTTATACTAAACAAGAATCCATAACTGCACCAGAATGGTGTCCGGCTAAATGACTGTTTTGTCCAACCAAAGAGCTTTGTGCATTGCAAAGTAGGCAAAACCTTTCTACCACTATATACAAGAAGGACTATAGACTAGCAGAAAATTTCCAATTATCCTAAATCATAGAGTATGAAAGCTTTGAGAAACGAGCAAATAACAGAAGTTCATCTTTTCACCTCATCCAAGTGTGCAAAATATCTAACACCATCACACTGCTAATGATACAACCCTACAGCCTCACAAACCAAGCTGTAGAACGAATCCACTAGATCACTTCACTAAACATTTTCACCCATTCACCAAAGAGCAGTTACCGAAGGAAGAAAATTTCCATGCAGAGGCACAACCAATTCTTTTCCTTACAAGTTACAGCACGAGAACCATTCTCCGTATCTATTTTCTTAGCAAGCAATCAAATCACATCAGCAGTTCAATTAGTCGCATAACTACAAACATCATAAGCCCACAGTTATATGTCAGTCTAAACTCCAGAAAGTAACCACTCCTTCGCAAATCACACAGCCAACAGTTGTGAATCCGTAACGAAACATTTTTTAATTTCTAGTACACCATTCCACTCAAAGCAAACCATATGAATGAAGGTAGTGATAAAATTCAATCATTCTTGTTCAACACATTCCTCTCGGCTCTTCAAATTAACACAAGCAAGTATCACAGAAAGAAACCATTCAAGAGGTTCCCCCCAGAGACGGTTGAATCCTAACATGGTCCAGACTAATCTAAATAATTCACTACAGTTTTGGCACATCTCCTAGACATTCTTAACAATGGAAAACCACAAGTAGTAAACTCTAATAGAATCAACTTAACAGCTAGAGCAATCAAGAGCACACCATTACCTGGTGCAGCCATAATAGATAGAGAGATCGTCCAGAGCGCTCAAGGCAACACCACCCGTAACAGTAATCAATACAAAGGAGACTGCTTTACGTCCAAATGATGATGCTTCGCTCTTGCCTTCCTCTGCCGGCTTCGCAGCACTGCATTGGCAAAATCCCGCAGCAAGGTCACATAATGGCACTCCACCAGAATTCATATTTGAAATTAGCAATCAGCGGTGATATCAGTTATTAGTTAGGGATTAAGAAAGGGAAGGACACAGAACCAAGCAGAATTAGTTTACCTGGAAAGTAGCGATCTTTGGGAGCCCTTGAACACGGAAACAAACCTTCTGGCCAGCATAGCTCCCGCTCTCTAAGATAGTGTCGATCTCTAGAATTAGCGGTGAAATCTCTTGCTCTTGAAAGTTTATACACTCAGCTGTTGCAAGCATCCAAATCTAAAGCCCCAGATAGAAGTCGCAATTGCAGATCGTTGCAACCTCCCAAGTCCCAAGGGTTTAAGACGCCAGGAAAAGACGGGTTAAAATTGAACGTCTGCCCAGAAACAATAATACGAGTCGAATAGAACCGGGCTAATTATCACAAACAGTAAAAAATGTGTAAAAAAATTAATATTTTCGTATGCCCTGAACTTTGACCAAAATAAATATCCTGATCAATCTTTTCGATTATAACATCTTGGCCTGAACTATACACAAAAATAAACAATTTGGCCAAATCCGACTTTCGACCGTTAACTTAGACGGTCAAACGCGTTGACCGTTAGTCAACGCGCCATGTCAATGCCAAGTCAGCATAAAATATTTAAAATAATTCACAATTTCTATACATTCCCTAATTTTAAGTTATTATAAATTAAAAAATTATCTAATACCTTAGTTAAACCAAAAATAAAAAAATTAAATATTTATCAGATCTTCTGACTTGGCAGTGATGTGGCAGTGACGTGGCGCGTTGACTTTTAGTCAACGCATTTGACCGTTCAAGTTAACGGTCAAACATCGGGTTTGGCCAAATTGTTTATTTTGGTGTATAGTTCGGACCAGGATGTTATAGATCGAAAAGATTGACCAGGATGTTTATTTTGGTCAAAGTTCAGGCCATATGAAAATATTAACCCTAAAAAAAAATTACAGAATTTATATTTTGCATGTTTCGATATAACATGTTTAAGCGAATAACAAAACAATAATTTTGTTCAATCTCAGTCTGAAATTCTATTAATTTTGTCCAGACACCACGTCAAGTTACAAAAAAAAAATTAATAAAAATAATCAAACCTACCGAATTAATCCCAAACGAGGGCAGACTCAACCCGAAGGGCAAAGGGAGAAGGGTCGCCCGATCTCTGCGCGTGGTTCATTGTTAAGAATTTTGTCCCCAAAGAGTTATATGTATAATTTGCCCCTCTACTTTGTATTTTACTATTTTTCTTAAACATGCCCCTCTACTTTGAATCACATCAAACCTACCCTTATAGTATTAAACGCTGTTCAAACCTACCCTCGATTTATTTTTCCGTTCCAGAACCTCCAAATCGGTTCAACTGAATTCGGTCAGTAGGATTTCATAAAAATGGAAGTCAAAATGACTTTGATGCCCCCTTATTTATGATCCTCCGTTGAATGAAAACCCTCCATTCAAAGCCCTTCCCCTTTAAGGACTTCGACCATCCCAATTCTTCCGATGTATGATTTTCGCCGCCGCCACCACTTTGCATTCATAGAATTGTCAACGCCTTCATCCTTATAGACTTGCATCGATTCCCTCCCTAACTGCCGACCCTAACCTCTCCCACCCTTTGTTTCCCCTTCACGCCGCTGCCACCGCACCACCATCGTCAATCTTGAATCTCTACACCCATACTTTGGATCTTACAGCAAACCCAACCCTAATTTCACCCATCCGGCAGTCTTATTAAGACCATCATCACTCTAACCTTGGTTACGTCTTGATAACTATGGTGCTTCTCTGTAGATAGAGATCCAATATAATTAATTTTACGGATGGTGAAATCAAAATACAAACTAACTCACAAAAGAGCCTCCTATTTGTGGTCGCTGCTGCATCGAAATGTGATTTTGCAGAGGCTCCAGAATGTGTTTTGGGAATGCGGGGGAGATTAAAAAAATTAAGGGGTAATAAAGTCATTTTGCCTTCCATTTGTATGAAATTCTGTTGACCGAATTCAGTTATGGACCGGGTGGATCGGAGGGTTAGGTTTGAGGAGCGTTTAATACTAGAAGGGTATGTTTGATGTGATTCAAAGTAGAGGGTAATGTTTGAGAAAAATACAAAGTAGATGGGCATATTATACATATAACTCTTTCCCAAAATACACAAGTTTGGTGTAGTTCGCTACACTGTTCAGTGATTTAAGATCCGGCTTATGTCGGACAACATCGATATATGTGGATCGCTGCAGTCTGTCGCGATCTGCTAGTGGATTGCTCCTGTTACGATCTACTACTAATATACGTCAAAACTTCATATGACCGTAGCTTTACGCTCGATTATATGATTGATGCAATATGCAAAACTTTCCAAGAAGTAAATCTTTTATTAGAGGATAATCTTGAGAATGTATGGTGCAAATTGGAAAAAAAAAAGTTACAAAAGCATACTCAAAATATCTACAATCAATGAATATGTCATTTCTAAAAATGTCCTTAATAAAAATTATAGCACTTGAAAAATTATGGAAGCCTTTTTTTTCCCTATATGATGAAAGAGCATAAAATTACAATTGTCTAAAAATTTTGGCAAAATCACAAGGTAACAAATTACCTTAATCGCAGTCAAATGAAACACACCACTCCATAGAAACTTTCCAATTTTTCCCCGATTCTGCTTCACCACCACCCATCGTTGCCGCCGTTTAACCGTAGTCATCATCCAAGGAAACTTCTAAGCCATTAAACCCCCCCCCCCTCCTTTGTGCGCTGAATAGGGCTGCCAAACGGTTTTGCGGTAACCGGTTTAACCGGTTACCATACCGGTTGCCGCGGTTACCGGTAAACCGGTTACCGAAAAAACGGTGAGCGGCAGAGATTTTGTGGCAGGCGGTATGCCGACACCGGGCAATCAGTTTACTGACGGGTTATCGGTAATCCGACACCGAATAGAAAAGGGATTTTGTCAAGCCCGCCACGGCGCCACCCCACCCTAAAAGCCCAGCCCTAGTCGATCAAAACCAGCTGCCCTGCCATCCTAAATCCTAATTCCCCTGTCTTACCGACGCCCGCCCCCGACTGCTGCAACTTGCAAGACCACGAAAGAGTCCACGATCGCCGATCCCTTCTCCTCCGTTCACTTCATCGTCGTTGGCGTCGACCCCTCCTCCTCCGTTCAAGTTCCTCTCATCGCCGGGAACAGGACTCAGCAGACAGCACAGCAGCCCAAAGACAGGCTCTGTTTCCGGCAAGTTCCTCTCATCGCCGCTCCGCTGTCCGTTGAACTACGTGAGACCGTCGCCGTCGCCGTCTCCGGTCTCCGTCCATTGTAGAGGTAACTTCTCCGGTCCGGCTGTGATCCCTTACTTTTGTCGCCGTCGCTAGAGGTAATCAACCAGCCCTAGCCGTCGCCGTCTCCAGTGTCCGTCCCTTCTCCGTTGTGCCTGTGATCTCTGACTTTCATGAAACAATGAAATTAAAATACCATTGGACATTGGTAGCCCTATGATTTGGACATTTGGTAGCTCGATTTTCTTATGATTGGAATTGGAGGATTGGTTACATCGAGGTCGAGCGAGTCAGTTGACCTCATGCTTTGGGAATTGGCCATTGGGGACTGTGGGGGGTGGGGGGGGGGCAGTCTGGATTATGTTTTCTTTAGTTGCATTACACTTTACATCGACACTCATAGTTATAGGGGAAAGCTGTCGTCCATCGACATCAATTTGATACTATAATTGTCATTTCACTCATTTGTCAATACTAAATTTTCATTGACTAATTGATGAAGCAAAGCAAGTAATTTAATTCAATTGTTTGATTATTAACTAATAAATACTAATTACTAATTAGTTTGCTTTAATTTTCATTTTTGCAGGTTTACATAGAGGCAGAGCCGAGCAAAGCCCCTGATCCCAGCATAAGAACTTGGGTTATGAAATGAAACTCTAGAACCTTGGGTTTTCTCATTTAACATTTAGTTTAAATAGTCCAAGAGTGGCACTGCATGACAAAGGTGTGCCACCTTGCTTTTTTAGAACAAAAGACAAAACATAACCAAAACTAAAGTCAAAACTCAACATTGCCATTAAACAAAACTTCTTGTTGATGTTAATTTCCTCCAAACCTTGTCGATCCACTTTGATATTTGTGGTCGTCGGTTTGAGTCTTGACGATAACTTGTAATATCTCTTGATACCCCAGCAAGCGGGTGAGCACAGAATGTGCACACCAAACTTGGAGAGAGAATCCAGTCTTGACTTGAGAATGTTGCTACACTTTGGCTAGCTAACTTCACTTCAATCTTCAATTGGTGAAACTATAGCATCTTGCTAGTTGGCTTCCCACACATCTTCTGAATGACGGTTGCATCTAGGGCTGGAAGTTTGGTATAGGTATTTGGGATATACCGAATACTGTACCGAATTTACCACTATTTGATATTACCGAATACGGGTTTATTTTTTAGGGATTGGGATTGAGATTCATTTTGGAGTGCTATTCGGTTTTTGGGATTACGGGATTGGGATTGATATATACCAAAATACTGAAAATACCAAGAAATACGGGATTGAGATTGGTATATACCGAAATACCGAGAAATACACAACTTTAAAAATTAATGAAATATAGCACAAAACCTTTAGCCATTCCTCACTCTTTCACAACATAGAAGCCCCCATCCAACTCAATTTTGACTTTTCACTTTAAGTAACTCTCGTTTCTCACCTATCTCTTGTTATTTTCATAACACCAAAAAGCATTAGTCGTCTCTCAGCCTCCAATTCGTCAAATTAAATATTACCAATGACAAAATTTTGAGATGTCACCTCTTCTCCATTCTTCTTATCTATATCCTAGTTCTAGGCAAACTCAAGACTCTTTGCTTAGTTTCTTTGTCCTAAATTAAACAATCAAATCTAATTTATATATTAAATTATTAAATACAAAGGTAATTAATTTCATATTCGATAATACCGATTGGGATACCGAAGTACCGATTGGGATACCAAAATATTTAGGGATTGAGATTTACTTTAGGGTATAATTTGGTATGCGAGATTTCAGTATTTGGTATTGGGATATCGATATCGTACCGATTTCCACTCCTGGCTGCATCTATGGCTGGCTAGCTAGCTATGAAATCTTCTTCTTCAACCGGTGATACCAATGCATCTTTGGCTAGTTGGCATGCCTTCTTCTTCTTCAACTCCTCAACCCCCAACTTCAGCATTGTAGCTTCAGTTTCTCCAAATTAATTCAGATATGCTGCTGTTTTTTCTTGGCTGACAAGCACTCCTTTCTTCTTCATCAACTACTCAACTCCCAACTTCAGCTACTTCGCTTCAATTTCTCCAAATAAGCAGGAAATGTTGCTGCTTCTTTTGCTAGCTGGCACTCCTACGATCTTCAAATAAAAGTCGCTGCAACATTGCTAGCTGGTTGACTTTTCTTTCTTCTCCTCCATCTTTAGCTGTATCTTCAACATGGTTCGGATATGATGTTGCTGACTTTGCTAGATAGCATTCCATCTGAGAAATAAATTGAAATCAACAAATGGAGTGCACTGTTGGCTACTTCCCCTGCTTCAACAAACTTTGGTTGTTGCCTTCTCTTCACAACTTCTGCTTCTATTTCCTTTATGAAACAATCAATTCTGCTTGAATTTTGCAGCTCCTTTTTTTAGTTCATTACTTACTTCGAATCGGCAAGAAAGTTGACAACCTTGTCTGTTGGAGATTGCCTCCAACCAACCCATATTGACATTCTTCTCATTCTCAATCACAGTCTTCTCAACATAAAATAACTCAATCACAATTTTCAGAACTTG